TCCTCAAGCGCTTACTTGAACAGCATGCGAAATTCACACAAGCTAGGCTCATCGTCGTATTTATCACGACTTTCATGCTTCCTAAAGTAGCATGAAAATCTTCGATAACAACTTACCTTACAGGTTACCTCTACCGAACTTTTTCAAGGGAATTTACATACGATTCAGGGTAGAAGAATGCGAGAAACTTTAATATCTGCAAAACGCCGCATAGATCACTATGTGGGCATTTCTTCACACTGGTATGGACTGTCGCCATTAGGCTGGACACTTGCTAAGACGATGTGAAAGCACAGCGTAACGTAGACAGCATTTGGATAGCAAATTAGTAGCAAGTTACGTCATATAGCCCGAGGAACAACTCAACCTCTTGAAGTAATGAAAAATGAAAATACTAATTGTTACATCTCTTGTGATTGAGTCATACCTTTCCCTTTACTCTTCTTTGGCAGTAGAGTGGTATGAATGTTAGGCAGTACACCACCACTAGCTAAGGTCACTCCAGCTAAGAATTTGTTGAGTTCCTCGTCGTTGCGGACCGCCAATTGAATGTGTCTTGGAATGATTCGAGACTTCTTATGATCACGCGCAGCATTACCAGCCAACTCGAGGATCTCGGCGACCAGATATTCAAGGACTGCAGCCAAGTAGACCGGAGCGCCGGAACCAATACGTTTAGCATAGCGTCCCTTCTTGAGGTAGCGGGCTATTCTACCAACAGGGAACTGCAGACCGGCCTTAGCTGAGCGAGTCTTCGAACCAGAGGCCTTCTTCCCAGACTTACCACCACCACGACCACCTTTGCCTTTGCCGGACATCACAACAATGAACTAACTATAAGATTCGTATGTAATGAGCATGATATACCTGTATCTACTCCTACTCAACTTCTATTTCACCAGGCGAGCGAGTTCATGCCCAAGATACTCCATAGAAACTCCAATTTCGACGGTGCGCTGCTTTGAGAACTTCAATTTTGACAATGTAATTCGGGAAGTTTAATTTCGACACAGTAGCATCATTTTGATTAAATAAACGGGCGCCAGCCAACCTCGTGTCTTGGAGTACGCCGTTGTAGCTATGATTGCAAGGAAATAATCCTACACCGTTAGATTGTGTTATCTGGTAGTACTTCAAAGAAGGAAGGAGGATCACGAGTACTTCTATATTTGAAGTTTTTCTTGGGTTTCAAGTCATCCCTTGTTGCACCACTCTACTCAAGGATTGTCATACAGACTTCCTTGGGGTGGTCATAAATGAATCGAAAACCCTGCGGAAATACATTTGTAGTAACCTCCTACATCGGGCATAAGAGCCGTCATAAGTGAGGCGGCCTCGATGATACCTCAACCGTGGAGGAGCTGAGTGTTCGGGCGAGTTGCTCCTTCAAAGATACACGGATCCAAAGACCATTCCTAGGCGGGGCTTAGCATCTAAGAGATTATAATCATCTCCCGACGACGGTTGGACAATGTGTTGTAACAACACTGTTGTTGTGAGTATGAACACTGCTGCTGATGATGAACACTATCTTCCTTTATGGTGTACATGACCACCTCCTTCACTGTTGATGATGATAGGCTTTGGAATATCCTACGAGGATCCTCCCTCACCTATTTCATCGTAATGAGTGTATGACTCTAAGGGGGGTCTAGTGAGGATCCTCCTTCTTGTATTCACTACAACAGAATAAGGCTATTGACCCCGCTCATGTTGCCCTCATTCTCGACGAGCATCTCCTCGCCACCCTCACATCATCAATGCCTATGTGGTAATGTGTCCATGTTGTATTGTTGTTCTCAGTAGCAGTAATATTCCCCTTCAATTCTCTTCTTCCTCGGTCCCACGCTGCGCTCCGACAAATCGATCACTCGATCGATTTGCGTCAATCGTCGAGTTCTCGACTACCCCCACTGAGAGCTCACCACTCCTTTTGGCTCGTCATCACCTTAGAATGGCTCAAGAGCATTTACAGTTCCGCGGCGTCCTTCAGGGACATACTGATTGGGTTACCTCCATCGCCACTACGTATGAGGATCCCAAGATGGTCGTCTCCGGTTCTCGCGATAAGAAGATCATGATCTGGGAGCTCACCAACGACTCCGAGTCTGCTGGCTACCCTCGTCGTTCCCTTACTGGTCACAACCAGGCCGTCTCTGATGTGACTCTGTCTTCTGATGCCCAGTACTGCCTCTCTGGGTCTTGGGATAAGACCTTGAGGCTTTGGGATGTGTCCTCGGGTAAGACCGTCCAGACCTTCGTTGGCCACACTTCGGATGTCTTCTCCGTCGCCTTCTCCCCCGATAACAGGCAGATCGTCTCTGCTGGCCGCGATAAGTCTATCAAGATCTGGTAATAATACGGAATAGGACGATGATTAATTGTAAGTGGGCAAGTTGCATTTTCCTTCTTTTCAGGAACGCCATGGGCGAGTGCCGTCACACCATCGTTGATGACCAACACACTGACTGGGTCTCTTGCGTCCGCTTCTCCCCCTCTGCCAAGCAGCCTCTGATCGTCTCCTGCGGTTGGGATAAGCTCGTGAAGGTATGGTCTCTTGATAACGGCAAGCTCCGTATCAACCTCGCCGGCCACACTGGCGTCCTCAACAACGTGACCATCTCCCCTGATGGATCCCTCTGCGCTTCCGGTGGTAAAGATGGTGTTGCTATGTTGTGGG